TTTCCTCCCCTCCTCACTCTGTGTGCAGTGGGGCGCTCCTGGGTCCTGGAGGGCTCCCCAGTGAGCAGGCCCCCTTCCCTGCGCCCCCCTCATACACATCGTGTTCTTTCAGGACCACATGTGGGAGGGCTGTGCGGATCTGCTGGACTGCCTGACTTTAAGATGAGAAGACACTGTGGTCAGATCGGTACTTAGAGAAGAGAGGAGGTCACTGCTGGTGGCCATGGTGCTGTGGTCGCCGTGGAGCAGGGTGGGGGTCCGAGGTGGCTCCAGAGGGCACTGACAAGGTCCATGACCTGCCCTGGGGCCTCGCGTGGAGCTGGGGTGTTAAGGACCCAGCCGTTATTGGGAATAATGTTGTGATGAGGCTGTCACTGGGTGACAGTGGTCTAGAGCCCCGGAGTAGAAGCACAACGGCTTGGTCCCCAGCCGCGGGGCGGGGAGGGGAGCTATATCAGATACAAGGCAGACACTGGGGTGGCCCGCAGGCTTCAGAGCAGCCACGACTGGCAGGGGGGGGCTGGAGGGATTGTCATGTCTTTGGACAGGACAGGGATGCATGGACGCTGTGACCAGACTGAGAGCTGGCCACCAGGGGAGTCCAGGCCAGGTGGCTGCTGGGAGCACAGAGATGAGGACATGTCGTGGAAGCTGGAGGTGGAGGTGTGAGCCGTGTGCCGGGACGGCACAGACGGTAGCACTCTGGGGGGACAGCCTCCGCTCTTTGGAAACTACATCCTGTCGCCACTCCTGTGGGCTCTGCAGGGCGGGTTGACGGCTGTCTCATACTCGCTAGCATGAGCCGGTTCTGGCCCTGGATCCGTGGTCAAATTGCTTTACAGATTCAACAGAGAAATCCCAACAGCCTTCGCTCCACAGACTGGTTAAAGGAGCCACATCGTCCGCTCTGAGCCCTTTGTGGAGTGCCTGCCATGAGAAGACACTCGCCAGCTGCTGGTCCCTGGCAGCTGTTGCCGAATTAGAGCCACATGGAGCCGGGAGGGCAGCCCCAGGGGATCCCGTGCTCCTCGCCCTGCTCCGCCTTGGACAGCCCTTCACACCATGCAGATCCCGGCCCCAGGCTGCTGAGCAGATGGCTGTTAAATACTTGACCAGTTTTATCAGGCGCTTCACAGAGTGTGTGTGCGTGTGACTGAGTGTGTATGAGTACATGTGAATGTGCATGTATGAGTGTGAGTACAAGCGTGTGTATGTGAATGCATGTGTGTGCGACTTTGAGTGTCTGGTATATGAGTGTGTGTGCGACTGTGTGTGTGCACGTGAGTGCATGTGACTCTGAGTGTCCGTGGTGTGTGACTGTGTGTGACTGTGTGTGTGACTGAGTGTGTGTGTGACAGCAGAGTCAGAGAACAGCACATCCCAGGTGGCACACTGCGCACACACGCAGCCTGCCCCTCCTGGGCTTGTCCCCT